CGATGGCCGTCGCGCTCCCTGCCTCATGGCGCACTGATGCTGCTGGCGCACGTAGAACTCGGATTTGGTGAGTCATGTTGAAATAGGATGTCTAGCAGCATTTCACGTTGGGCGTTGGGCTTTTGGTGGAACGGTGGCGCCTTCTCTGGAGCGCTGGGCCATCACCTGGTTCACACATGTTGTCAGGCATAATTGAATCACGAACATTCAAAACCAGCCACGTTGTTCCAAAACAACCCCGCCAACGCCGAAGAGCAAGAACGAGTGACTGCGCGGAAACAAGCGCCCCCCCGGAAAGATTATTGGCGCGCTGAGCTGTCAGTAGGCCCACAGCATTTAGCTCTCCCTTTGCGATCACGCGCTCGCGCCAGACACTCAGTCGATTCAAACAAGTTCTCCTTCTCTTGACATGCGCCTTAGGCCTTGGGTACGAAGGCACTGCGTCCGAAAAGCCAAGACACCGGAACATGACCACCCAAATTGAGTCCGAGCGGCTTGTCCCCAATGGACATAAACCAAGTAAACAAGACAACAACGGTGCCTGACAGAGCTGCCGACAAGCTGGGCTCGGGAAGGTTCCTTCCGTCCTCAGGCCACAGGCAGGCAGGCTTCCCATTTCTGTTGTTCACCATGTTTCATGTGTTTAAATATTCTTGTTGGAGACCCTGGCTCTCCCAAAACCATATCCACATCTCAAGATACCTTGGTGGAAGATCGTGGTGCAAACCCCAGCCAATACCTCCAGGAACTATGAAAGACACAAACACGAGAAGTTCATGGTGCGAGCGGGGTCCCACACGCAGAATTCACACGGACCAGATTGTAGACTACAATCTGCTTCAGTTCGTCGCAGATGTTCTGCCTTTAGATCCGGCAGCAATGTAACCCTATGCTTCGACGCATTCCAGGGCGCGCCAAAACTCTGACGGCGCCAACATCATCGACCTGCGCGCCTTTGAGCCAACTCAAATTGCAAACACTCAGCCGACCCACTGGGAAGATACTCCTCTGCCTCTAGTGACCCGAATCATAGAGGGCAGGTCAGCTATGCGAAGGTCGCGACAGGACAGCCATGTGTAAGTTGGCGTCAGCTTTGAAATGTTCAGGGTGAGACGGTGTGCAACACTGGGCGCTCATGCGAACCAGCCCCCAAGTATGTGAGCTGCGGAACTTGCAAGCACAGAGAACTTTTTAGACGCTTGCCCTCCCACATGGCAGGCATCTTGCGAACTTCCATGTTGAAGGTTGCGTCTCAGGCAGCGGCGGTAGCCGTCGCAGTGGTCGTCGACGTCCTCGCAGGTGCAGTAGTAGTAGCAGAAGCAGCAGTAGTGGTAGTAGCAGCAGCAGCAGGAGCAGGAGCAGTAGTATGAGCAGTTGCTGTTGTTGTAATTGTAGCTGTGGCTGTAGTCGATCTGCATAGCAACAAAACAATAGCAAAAGCAATTGTCCAAGCCCCGTTGTCGCGCGCATGGTTCTTGGGCTTTTGTGGGTTGGCTGGGCTTTGAAATTTGGCCCAATTCAGGAGGCTGGGCGAGCAGCAAGTGCGTGTTACAAAACTGGTAGTCCACTAAGGCCGTGCCAGAAACACGTTCAGGCTACAAACTTTACACATGGCGAGGGGCGAAAGGCTGCAGGACCAAACAACAGTTGTTGAGTGTTAGGGCTGCGGGCAAATCTAATGATGCGCTGAGAACCCGCTTAAGGCCAGGCCAACCAAGCAAGCATGACCCAAGGTGACCCAACACCAACCACCACAACCAACAGCGGCCCGGCCTCAAAGACAAAGTAGGCCCACAAGCACGGGCACATTTTCACTTTCACTGGCGCGGGGTGCAATAAATAGACCCCAGCGCCGGAATTGGTTAATTACACGCAAAGCTGCAGGCTCAAGGTCCGGCCCAAACACTTCCCGGCTTCGGCTGTTCTCTTCACTAATAACAACAACGTCCCAACGTCCTCATAAGCCCGGACTGGTAGATGAGCCTGGCTCTTGGCGCAAGAGCCGCGCAATAAATTCACAAATCTGCGACCCTTGACTCTGAGACCAATACTACACCCGCGTGGAAGCGCACGCACTCCTCGAGTTCCGATTCCCGTGATTGGGAAGGGTGGCGGGTTTCCTTCTTTCTTGCTGCAAAGAAATCCTGTTGCGTAGATCCAGCACGTGACAAAGACCTGCAGATTCTGTCTTGGCTTGGACCTCGACTTTCCTGCCGTCGTAGGCATACATCACAGGCCCTTTTGCAACTTGGTCTTCTTTCTTTTTCTTGCGTGGAGGTCTTTCTAAGCTTTCCATTCTGCAGCATTCCATGCGCCTTGCTTCCTCCATGAAACGCCTAAGATCTTCTGTCTTGGTCTGGAGTGCTGTGACTCCAGCTGTCAGCTTTGGTTTTACCAGCTTTCTGATCTTGTAACTTCATTTCTATCGATCGAGGAACCAAGCATTAAAGTTGGAACTTCAACCTTTTGATTTTGTTGTCTTTATCATTTGTGAGCCACGCTTTTGTCATTGTGATTTGTCATTCTGTGGGTTGCTAATGTGGCATGTCATATTTGTGTCAAATGTTGTCATTGCTGTGTCATTTGTTCTGGGCGGAAATCATTTGCACGTGTCCGATTTTTTGTGAAAAGTTTCGAAAATGGTTCAAGAATGACAAACAAATTTTAAAAAATCAATGACACAAAAATGACTCAAAATGATTCAACATGACCCGAAAATGACTCGAACCCGGGCGGGGTGCCAATTTTTTTGGCAAATTCAGGTTCCTCCATCCCTGCCCTTCCCTCTTTCCCCTTCCCCTCCCCTCCTGCCCTCCCTTCACAGCGCGTTCAAAACATACGGTGTAGACGACACCTCAAAAGATCACAAAACATGACACAACAATGACAACAAAAATGACTCCAAAATTACAAAAAAATGCGTCACAAACATGTTTCAAAGATGACACAAACATGTTTCAAAAATGATGCACCACGTGACCGCCCCCGAAAAAATGACAAACAATTACAGGGCCAAATGACAAACAAATTGCGAAAAAATATATATTGAACAATCCTCAGTACCTGCTAGAAAGAAACTCATAAACCAAGTATTCAACCAGTTGAAGATTGATCATCATTCAGCGTATCAACACCAACGAAGGTGCCATACTTAGTTAGACGCATTAAGGTTCTATATAGTTGGAAGTGGTGCCCTTCATGAAGCGATTGGTGGAAATCATCAGTCATGCTTTAGAAACAGAAGATGTTGAAGTACAAGATTCTCCCTCGAAAGGAGCTTAGTGAGCGCCCCTGCAAATTTGATACACATTTGACAATGTTTTTTGCGAATAATAACACGAAAAACATGTCTTCGCTGGTATAGTGTGTTTACGTCCTACAAATGACTTTGTTTTAATACTTAATACGAAAAGAAGATACACAGTTTTGGCTGTCCTATATGTAGCAAAAAGGATGGAGCTGTCCTTCTTGCGGAAATGTCTCAGCTCCAAAACATGTAAATAGAATTATATGAGCGAAAATTCCTCAAACCTAAAATGGCAAAGATAGAAGAATCGTTAGGGGATCAGGACGTGGTTGTAAGCTAAGTGGAAAGGCTAGAGCGCTATCAGGATTTGAATCGAATTCGCCGTAGCCAAATGGCATATCAAATTGATCAAAGAATTTGATGAGAGGACCATTCCACGACAGGACCTTGTCTTTCATGCTCAACATTCTGCTTGGTATAGATATTTGCCACGGCGGGCATTAAAGGCTCTACAATCGAAGCAAAACCTTCTCTATCCAATGCAATCATTAAACACACAAAGAACAACCACAAAATGAAGTGCAGCTGCAACATGGCCTGCTGCGACAACATCTAGCACCCTCTAGGCCTAGGCCACCTTTGATGCCTTTTCTTTTCCTACGAGTTATGAATTGTTTTTTTGTCGTCCTGGTTCGTCAAGTTCATCTCCACCGCCTTGCAGGCCAACATGTTCTCTCACTTCACAGAATCTAGTTGCTATATTTTTGGCCCAAGATATAAGATCCTGAGACGAGCACATTTGCTCCCGCATCTTTGGCTATGGTGCGAAGTTATGCGCAAAGATTGCTGATAGTAAAGCTGGGCCACCACCATCGGAGAAAATAAGATAAAATATACTTTAGATAAGTAAAGCCTTAAGTTCACAAAAAAGCAAATTTCCGACGAAACATCTAATGGTAGAAACCCCTGTCTCCATAACAAGCTTCTGCGTAAGAGCCTGGAATCTTCTCTGGGAAGTTGAAGAAGAATTTGAATGGCTCTGGGAAGTCCTTGCCAATCCTCTTGGCAGCTGCTTTGGCTGTACGCAATAGCTTCCATGCTTTGCTGCCATTGCGTCTGGCTTGCCTGTGGCACGTCGGAGGGGTCCCTGTTATGGCGTCGGAAACATGACGTAAAAAGCGGCACAAGGGTTCTATCTGTTCCTGAAACAGGCCAACTTGAGCCCTAGCACAGGCACAACCACAAACAACAAAGTTACACCCACCAAAATAATTAATTCACTAGCTAACGAAGCACCCAAACCAACCATGGGCAAGAAGTCCTCTTTCCCTCAGCAGTCGCAAGGTTGAAAGAACGCCGAGTTGTGCCTGCCATTCCCGGTTGGCCCGAGCGCCCACTACTCCAGGAGCACCATAATCCTATTATGGCGCTCCTGGTGCTCCAGAGCTGCGCAGCCAGAGCCAGAAACGGCTGCGGAGCTCAATGCTCGGCGAGCCTAAACTTGAGGGACAAAGTCGGACAAAGTGCAATTTTCACCACCAGTCCATTTGATTGTATGCACTATTGGTAGTGAAAGAAATTCGGCATTGCCGTGATGAAACAATTTTAATTGTCGGGCGCCAGGTTGTGCAGGACGTCTTCCAGTGGGGCACCAACCGGCTACCATAGACAGAAACCATGGGGCAAAAGCATGCGTGTCGAACACCCAAAGCCTAGGACGGTTTGATCCCTCGACATCGATCTGCCAAGCATCTGCCAGCGCATCTACTTTGCTTTCGGCACGGGCCTGCTGCGCAAACTGCTCTTCACTTATCTTGGGACAACAGATTGAACTATTCAGCCCGAGAGTGAACCAAAAACACAACCCACCTTTCGCTTTTGATGCTTCTTCCGGACCTTTTGCTGCTTCTTCGTGGCAGCCTGCAGTGCTGCACAGTGAGGTGGTTGGATGTAGCCAACTTGCGCAATGAACCGCCTTGCCACTCTTCTTGCCAGGCTTTCTTTGCCGGGCTTTCGTCGGCGTCTTAGCCATGGCAGTGAGCAAAACAGCTGCGAATCGCAAACGCAAGATATATGATGAGATTCTTCAGCTAGTATGGGGTAGATTAGGCTTTAAGACACCGGACGTTCAGCATCAATGAGTCCAAAAAAAAGACACAAACAATCCACCAGCTTCCTCAAAGTGACCAGCTGAGATTCCCTAAGTGACCCTTTAGAGGCTTAAGTGGCCTCAATCGGAGATCTCAAAGGGTCACGTTGAAGAACTTGGTAGGATCTCAATGAGACGGGGAAAAGGGAAACATGACAAGTCTATGTGGGAACCTGGGGGGTGCTTGGTGTTGAAGACACGCCCTCAGATGCATTCGATTTGGGAGTTTCGGCAAAGGTTTTGTTGAACTTTGAACTCATGATCGCTCGTAGTTGCAGGTGTTCTACCTCATCATTGAGAAATCTGATTCAAGGAATATGTGGTTTAAATGTCGATGGCACATTCTTGTGGATCTTCGCGCGCTAGTATGCGCACGCTAGCACGAATCAAGATTTTGGCTAGTCTAGCCTAGATTCTAGATGCATATCAATGTATGTATTAAGATAGATAGATAGATAGATAGATAGATAGATAGATCGATAGATAGATATGTGTGTGTGTGTTGGAGTCCAGGTTTGACCAGTGAAACTCCTAAATCCATGGCCGTCCAAACGCCTTCTGACAAGGGTTCCAATCACGAATTCATTGGATGCAAAACTGTGAGATTCGAAGACCCCAACCAATCTCAAAAGTGATGGTCCCCCAACCCGGTTCCCCTCTTATTCTGGCTCTTGCGGCCTCGGCCGAGCTCGTTGCGTGAAACTCCGCAGCGCGCGGATCGTATGGCGCGGGACGGCCGCCACGGATGGAAATGAGGCAGCCCAGGGGGCTTCACAGCACACGGCATAGGAAACCCACAATCGGCAAGGCCTCGCAACCGCTCACAGTGTCCCGTCTGCAGTGAATCTCAGCAAATCCAGCCTGGTGGACTTTAGGCAGCTGGCAGTTTCGCAATCCCTTTCGCAAAAAGGATCTTGTCGATTGCTTTGGTGCAGTTGATGGCACCCCAAAACGATGGCTCCACTTGGTCAACTTGAGACGCCCTGGCGGCACTCAAACCATAATGCAACAACACTTACATAGTCTGGCTTCCCGCAGCCACGCAGTTCAGCCATTCTGAGACAATTGACAGCAAACAGAATCAAACAAATACATAAATCCACAAAACCCTAGAAATCCACATACAAAAGGTGCACCAAGGCGCTTGGGATTGTCCTCAATCCTTGCAGCTGCTATCTGTCGCAAATCTCCATCAAACTCACTGACCAGGGCGCCGTAGTATCCCATCATTTGCTCAGGTTTGTTTGAATTCAGGGACCTCAACCAAGTCTTGAGCTCGGCAAACCGGTCCTCCTCAACTTCCTCTACTTTTGCCTTCTTTGCTGGAGGAGCTGACGGTACTGCTGGAGCTGCTTTCGGAGAGTCAGCTGTGCTGGCTGGCGCTGGGGAGCTTGCCGTGTCCCTGCCATCCGGCATGGAGGGTGCCGCAGCTTCTGCTTTTGGTGCTGCTGGTGGTGCAGGTGGTGAGACCTTTCCTTTTCCCTTTGCTTTGCCCTTTGGGGCTGCGCCGGGGGCGCGGCGATTCAGTGCAACCTTCAATCCGAAATCCCATCCATCTTCTGGAGGAAATTGCAAAGCCTTTGGGTTGTGCATCCAAACCTAAGCACATCTCAAGTTCTCCAATGAGGCGCTGGTTCAGTGGCCTGGTGGGTAGCAACTTCGTTCTGGAGAAACTTCATTCAGCTGTTGCTTATTCTTTTTGGGGGGGAGAGGGTTTGCAACGATGACGACAAGCACAACACACAGTCTGAGGCTTGGACCTCTGGGCCTCCAACCTTCGGACCAAACCACCATCCCTGGTCTCCCTTGCCATCACGGTCGTCCCAATAATATAGCTTGATCGCCTCTACTGATCCTTTCGGATCAGGTGCAATACGGCGGTAGACGGCCTTGTTGTGGTTGGTGCCATCTCTCACATACTGACCCTCCAGTGTGAAGCCAAGGCGTGGATCACTACAGCTTGATACCGTGATTTGCCCATCCTGAGGACCAACCTCAGGAAACAAAGAACTCCGAACTCCCCAAAACTCCTCGACCTCGGCCCAATGGCCTCGAATTGACCATTCTGAGGCCTCGACCTTGGCCTTAGCTTTCGGCTTGGCCTCACCTTGTCCACCCGCTCCCGCTCGTCGGCCCATCGGGGACCGAGAGCGCGAGCGTGGCTTGGGGCCTAGTCAACATGTCACAGCTCGTCCGTCGATGCACCAGCTTCGGCTTCCCAGCCTCGATTGACGCGGGGGGCAGGAGGTTCGTCCTCTGGTTCCAAGGAGGTGACCTCAGAGCGAAGCTCCAAATCTATCTCAGAGCGGAGGAGAATCTGAGGTGCCTGGCCTTCAATCTGGCCATGCCCAGAATTCCACCAGCCTCCATCTTCTTACCCAAATCACGCAATGCGGCCCGAGGCCGGGCGGGATGGGCTCGGATGACTAAACCACCCATCCAAGAAATCTTTTTGCTCCTGGCCAAGAGGATGGAGAGCCAACTCCTCAGTGGCAAAGTTGAACACACATCCGAGCCGATTCAGAATGCGGAGCCGAGTCGATCTGAGCCGAAGGCATGTTGGGAGTAGTTGGCTGTTTGCATCCTTCTATACTCTGGGACCATTCGGTATACATCTAACACCATTGGGGCCACTTGCCCCATTCCCTTTCACTCTGGTGTAGCTCAACCCCACCAAACGCACAGTCCCAACTATGTGGTTGAAAGATGTTGAAAGCACCTGCTCAAGGGAATGGAGTCTTTCAAAGAGCTTCACCATAGATGTTGCATTCAGTTCCAGTTCGTGATTCAAATTGGAAGGGTGCTTGGCGGTGCTTGGGGGCTGGAGTGAGCTGCAACAAGTTGCAACTTGGGGAATGCATTGCCGGGGTTGGTGTTCAAAATGACCGGACCCAATTCAATCATTGTCCCCAGTCTTCCTCAGTTCGATACTCAAACACACATCCGCGGGTACAATTCGTGTAGAAAAGACTGAGAAGTGGTTTTTGAAGTGATGCAGTTTTTCTTTTGTCGCTGCAGGTGCTCTTTTGCAATGGAATGGACTGGAAGTGCATACAAATGTGGACGACAACCTGACCCAACTTTTTGCACAACCGGGTGGTGGTTCAGGAGAGCCTCCACAGCATCCAAAACAGGAAGACGCAGATGGTGGCACAAACTTGCCAAATCGTTCAAATGCGTTCACTCAGATTGGAGCGGGTGGTCTTTGTGCTCACTTTGCAGGCAAGTTTGGACACCAGGCCAAAATGGCAGCTCCAAATACATCATTAACGCTCCCACTCACCAACATGGAAGTGGAAAGCCCCCTGTTATAAAGGAAAGAAGCCTTCCAAGGACCATTTTCCACTTCCATGTTAGTGAGTTATATAGTGTATATATAAATGCCCTCACTCTCACTGTCACTAATTAGTCGTGAACAAGTGATGTGCGCGGACTACACCGCACTTTTTCTGGATTGTGTGCTTGCCATAGCATCTTCCATTTTAGATCATGCAATCTAGGGTGCAAAGCGCCAATAATGCACAATAAGGCACAAAAAAACGCATCCTTAAAGAGTTGTTCCTCGAACAAGTTCAGATCATCCTGAAGTTCGGCCAATGCTGCTCAGCAGCTGCCCAAGGCCGTCGTTGATTTCGCGGTAGAGTCTTGACCGCTCCTGAACACGTTGAAGGATTGAGGTATGAGGTTCTATGGATTCGGCCTCTGAGTGTGTCTGGGTTCACGCCCCTTCACGAGCCATCAACATTGGATATCAAAGATTGGCAGCAAGGAGCGGATCATAGCGAATCCAACTTTAGATAACTTGTCACTACCTCAAAAAACATGTGCCTTTGCACGCTCGGTGCGTCATCCGTCGTCCTTATCCTGTTTCATCATCATTTCCACACGGTCCCACTTCTTCTCGGAGTCGTTGCCATCCGCAACAATACCCTGCCCAAAAGGTTCAGTGCTCTTGCATTCTTGCCAAAAAGTCCCACTGCTGCATCAACCAGTTTCTAGTTCTTCACAAAAAAGGGCACCCAGGTCTTGTTCTCTCTGACCAGTGGCATTGTCAAACGGTCAAACATCTGCACACGCAACAGGACAAAAACTGTGAACGCAGGACTGTGGTTTGTAATCGAACCATGTAAGCTTGTTATATATATATATGTGTGTGTGTGTGTCAGAGTTTTCCGTGGAAACCTTTCCGCCTCAAAAAATATGAACAACACATAAATAATGAAAAGAGCTGAGATGTGGATGAGTTAGATTTGGACAGGCTGCCTTCAGCAACACCAGTCCGTTACAACATCCTAGAATTGCCCTTCATGTGCTGCTAATGTGTTTGATCTTTGGATATTTTCGGATCTTCATTCTCGCTCTCACCTCAAGCTGCTCCGTCCATGTGTCCAAGACATCATCTCCCTCCGATTGGCTTACCTCGGGAAAAGGGCAACCCCTGAAGTTACATGAGGGTACTGTATTTGGTAAAAGAACAAAGGAGTAGAGAAAAGGAACAACATGAGAACATGGAGAAAAAAACAGATGAACATGAAAAATGAAAATGTTTGTCTGTGCTCCTTTAATACGCCCCCGTCAAATAGACCCATCGAACACCTTCTTTCTTCTTTCTCTAATTTCTTTTTAAGAAGATGTGAAACCCCTGGTCATTGCTTGAGGAATGCAAGATCCAAAAGGAGGCAATGGGAGACCAGAGCAATGCTGTCAAGTAAGTTAGAGAAAATGAAGGGAGACAATTAGGAGAAAAGTCTGGAGAGAAAAGAATGAGACAAAACGCTCTGGCCTGCTCGAGAGAGAGAGAGAGAGATGAGGAGCAACACATAGGGAGGCTTGTGTTAACATGTTTTAACACGAGGGCAAAATCAACACGAGACACAATCTACGAATCTACTACAATGCAAGAGTTGAGAGCCCAGCAGCTAAGCTGTGTGGGGAAGAGGGTGCCAGCCTCAATGCCCTGCACAACTCTCCCCACCTCTCCACAAATAGTGTTGGTAGAGGTATGGAAGTCTCATTGCCCAAAGCCGTGAATTCCCCCCAATCCTTCAGTGTGACACTCCGACCGAGAAAACTGGGCCGTTTAATTCCGGATTCAGGATGATGACTGAGCCCAGCTGCTGGCATCATCTTCTTCACCAAGGCTTTCATCTGATCCGCTTCGTCAGAGGTGCTGCGTGGGATTGCCATGTGGCCCAAAGCCACCGCAAGGGTCTGCACCAGCGAGGGCATGGAGGCCTAGGCACAATGGGCACAATATGGCACAATGACAAGTGCGGACAGCATAGGTTGGAGGCCATCGCTAGTAGGTTGGAGGCCATTGCTCTTGGATCCTAGGTGGAAGGCCATTGCCTCTTTTTCTCTCTGAAGGAGTCTATCTGTCACGTTGCTGTTGCCCTGGTTGCCTGTCCTCCGGTGGTTTGTTCTCCTCCTCTAGCCTGTTGACAAAAGCCCGGAAACCACCCCAAATGGAGAAGGGTGCCCTAAAGTGACCCGAGGAACAGATTTTCTGGGGTGTGCCGACTTATAGGCCTGCGAAGTGATGACTACTCTGCGCCTTTGCCAAGTTGCGAATGCTTCCGGTGAGAAGAGAAGTCCGGCGGTGAGCACGTTTTTGAGCACGTTCGGGTCATGTTGCTTTCCGCTTTGGAGTACCTGGAGGTCAGCTCAGTTCCCCTGTTATATTTTCCAGCTGTGATGTCTGGAGTTCCCTAGAAGATGATGTTCATGTTTAGGGGGTTTTCAATATCTCTTTGACAATTGGCATGTGCTTGGGAGAGTGTGTTGAGGAGAAGCTCACTGCTAACCATCTTTCCATGCGGGATTGCTCTCATGACTGCTCAACTTCCATCGCGTCTCTCTTTGAAGAAAGGGTCCGAACAGTCAAACATGACGGACATCGTGCTGTGCTGGTTAAGGCTTAGGTGTGTCTGTGTGTGAAACCCTTGGGATCACAGGGGGCCGGTTGATTTGTGCACATTGAATTTAGATGTAAGCAGGAGCACACGGCATCCATGATCCACCGTGTGCAACGAAGCTACGGTCATGGATGGGAAGGGAAGGCTGATCACCTTCCTGTACCTGCAGTTTGTGAATGTTGTAGCCATTCTCCAACCGTAGATGATACAGGTCTGCGGAGTGCACTCGTCGACTCTCGTTTCCTTTCTCGCGCTCGTTCGAGAACTTTGTGAACTAGGAGCTCTTTGGAACTTGTGAACTTGTGAACTTTGAGATCTTTGGGGCTCGTACCTCTTCCTGGAACTGGAGCTCTTGGGCGTTCATACCTAGGTGGGCGTGTATTTTAGAGTAGGCAGCCGCCAGAGCGTGTCCACAGCGGACGTGAGTAGGCTTCAGCGACCGGAGCTTGTTCAAGACCCAGCGGGGTCTGTCCCAACCTTAGGTACACACACAGCTCTTACATACCCAACTCAGGTTTACATAGGTTTGTTTTAATGAGGTCTGGCTTCGCCAGGCTTCAGGTCGCCCAGGTCTTGATAATGAGGTCTGGTTCATTGGTTGTCCCTGTTCGCTTGGCTTCCCCTTCATCGCAGCCACGCGCAATGGTCTTGCTTTGTTCCCTTCCCACGTCTTCATGTTTGTCTTCTTTGAGCGCACACATGCACATGTGCTTGCCCCTTAGTTTTTGGCCCCCCCATGTAGGGGGCGTGTGTGTGTGTGAAACCCTTGGGGTCACAGGGGGCCGGTTGATTTGTGCACATTGAATTTAGATGTAAGCAGGAGCACACGGCATCCATGACCCACCGTGTGCAACGAAGCTACGGTCATGGATGGGAAGGGAAGGCTGATCACCTTCCTGTACCTGCAGTTTGTGAATGTTGTAGCCATTCTCCAACCGTAGAGGTCCTCAGGCTGTTGCAGGATGATACAGGTCTGCGGAGTGCACTCGTCGACTCTCGTTTCCTTTTTCGCGCTCGTTCGAGAACTTTGTGAACTTGGAGCTCTTTGAAACTTGTGAACTTGTGAACTTTGAGATCTTTGGGACTCGTACCTTTTCCTGGAACTGGAGCTCTTGGGCGTTCATACCTAGGTGGGCGTGTGGCATGTGG